AGTGAGTGAGCGGCTGTGTGGTGCTCAGTTGCTGGCTGGGGTTAAACCACGACACTGTCATTTAATTTATTTTCATTTCTGTAGCTGTAGTTCTTTTTTACTTTTGTAAGAAGGATCTCTTAAAACTTGACTTCAATCCTTAGTGGGAACAATAGCTTGCAACAAGGATTTCCTTAGGCTAATTGCATGAATTGCTAATTAGTTGTAAGTCATTGCCTTTCACTTTGTGAGGAACCTTGTTTCCTTGTGTCATGAAGAGAACGTGGTACGTGAAATCACACAGGGTGAGCCCACGGTTTTGAATTAAATTTCCTCTCTAAATCATCCCAGCAAACACAGCTATATGTTGGTATCTGACCATTCAAAGGCAGCTGGACGTTTTGCTGGCCAGACACCACTTCTGTTACCTCCAGGAGTTTGCACGGTTTGCAGATGGGAAATGTACTCAGAAAATGGACTTGTAATAGCTTGGTCTTTTAATTTAAGAAGAGAGAATTTACCTTCTCTCTCTATAATATCTGTGTACATGTCCTCCTCCCAATCTTTCCCAGTTCTCCCAGCATTTCTTATTCAAGATTCTTTCTATGCCTTTACCAAAATCTACTACTATTCTTCTTATACTGGACAACCTTCTTTTTAACATGCACCTCTAAATTTACTGGATGCACAGTCTGTAACAGGAGATTAAAATTCTTAATCCCCCTATAGAACATCCTTAATCTAGTTTGTACTCGTGCATTCAAATATTGTTATCTTATCAGGTATCTAACATCCTCTCTTCTTTGACACTGGCATAAAAATACCATGAACTCTCTCAAGATCTTGACATCAGTAGTTTTTCCCCTCTTTTTTTAATCTGCCTGCTAGATTGCTCCTCCCCAGATTGTCTAATGTGCTAAAGCCACAACACCTTTTTCTATCTTCAAAGGAGAGGGGTTTGTGCCTGCTTTCAATTCCAATTCTATCATCAACCTTTTCAGCTGCACTTATAAAATACTCCCTTTCAAATTCAAAATACGATTTCAAATCCCATCTTTTAATTATTCAATCACAGATTTATCTCTTTCCTCGATTGCTTTTGGTCAGCTTTTGCCCCATGAAATCCCATCCATCAGCTGAAATGCAACATGGTCAGAAATGATCCAAGTTACGTGTAACACATACAGTCATTTTTAATCTTAGGCTTCAGTAAAACATTCAACGCTCTGTTCATGTTTCCTTGCAAGCTTAAGCACTAATTGTAGAAGCTAATTAAGCTCTCCACAATAATACATATGTCTACCTGTCACCACAGTGAAGTTACTGTGGATTAAAGAAATAAGCCTATGTGAGTCTGAATGATGTAAGATAATATAACTTTTGAAACCTGTCTCAAATTTGTGCACTTGCATATCTTAAACGAATCCCTCTCAGTTTCCTCAAAATTTTCTGTTGAAGACTATATTAACTGATGCTTCATCAGCTCTAAACACTGCCAGCTCCCTTTACAGTCCTTTTTGCTAATTTGTAAAAGATATATACTGTATATAGCAGATGTCAACTCTTGGCTCTTACAGCAGAAAACAAGCATGTATTGAAAACCAGGCTATATATAATGATTTCAAACCTACAGCACTTCAACTTTTGCCAAGTTTATGCAATTAAAAACTTCATTACTTAAATACCTGCAGAGATCAGCCTAGCAAAGATGATGATGTCAGCCTTACTAAAATTTTTAGCTCTTTGTGTCCCACAGGGGAAAGTGCCAGTGAAACTTAAAAATACAAGGAGACGTTTTATTCCACATTACTGTGAAATCAAAGCATCAAAAGCTTACAGAATTCAGCTCGCCAAGCATTTGATATAGGAGCACTGAAAAAAAAAGAAGCATAGCAACATTTACTGGGAAGCTCACCTTTTAAAATAAAGCAAAGCAGTATTTTTTTGCTTAAGGTCCGGTAATAAGAAAAGTAAGATATCAAAACCTACCTAAATGTGAAATACAGTGACTAAATTAAACCAATTCATTACTCGCTCTTCAGAAAAATATCTTCATATCTAACTTTTAGAAACAAGCTCTGAGTTAACTTAATACTCACTAAACTACAGCCACAACACGAAACGCAATTTAATATCTAAAACTTAGGTGCAGTTTTCAGAGGAAGTTTACTCAAGCTTTTGACTCTCCATCCACCACAGTACTAGCCTCTCAAACTCATCCTGTGTTCTGATGCCCTGATGACTTTCATCTACTTTATTTATTATCAATAGCACTACAGATTCTGGGAACAGACCACTGCATTTATGCTGCGAATTCAACAGGAAAGAATTGCATTAATTTTCCTATCACTAGGCTAGCTCCATGCTCCTATGAGGAATAAAGCTGTATAAATGAAGCTATATCACTAACATAAACATGTATGATTTCATAGAAGCCTAGCAACCATCTCTCTCAACAAAAAAAATGCCATTTTTCAAAATCATTCTTCTGACCATGGTTTACAAATAACGGATGGGCCTGAGCCAGACAAACACAAGCCCTTGCAAAGTTCCTGGCTTCTCATATGCCAAGTTCGGCTTCCATAACATCATTACCTATTCACAAGTAGTTCCATACATTCACTCAGTCATACCCAGACTAGTTCAGTATCACACTGGCACTGCATAGAAAAAGCACAAAACACATAGCTCTATAATTCTATGTAGCCTATACAAATATATTCATTAATAGAAATCCAAATACTACTCACCACATGAAGAATTTTATTCTCTGTTTCATATACTGTGCAATCCTGAAAAAGTAAAGAAAAGGCAGGTTAAATTGATCCAATCATTCACCCTTCCTAGATTTATCCTTAAAAAGAATTAAACTGAATTGAAAAATCTTTAGGATGAAACAAAAGATTTCAAGTCTCAAAAAGAATGGAAAGATTCACGTAACCAAAGTGTGACGCCACCACAGAAAGGAAATACTAGTAAATGTTTATATCTATTCACTAGTTCTTGTTGCTTCCTTCCTTGAGACAGATAACGATCTTCCTTCACTTTATATTGTTTCGGCACATACCAGCTAGTCACATGTATGCCAGACAAGTGACTTCAACCAGCAGTCCCTGACCATGGACAAAAATGACCTACTTCTAGTGGTAACACTGAAAAACAGAGGTACCAGCAATAGTCTTAAGTAACTAAGAAAGAAAACTAAGCTGAACAATTCCTGCTGAGCTGAGCTGAACTGATGTGTTTGCACACCCTGCCAAAGAAGAGAAGGAAAACACTGGGAGGAGGAAGAAGAGAAAATGGAACCACTGGTTGTTTATAAGACTCCATGCAATGGGAGGGAAGACAAACGCGGAATACAAAACGCACAGGAAACTCGAGGCGGACCATCTTATTACATACAGCCTGCTGGGGACTGCATGCACATTGTCACCTCATGTAGCATGTGAGGCAGTTTCTGTAAGTAAGACTAACAGATGGGAGGCCGGGGGCTGTGAAAGTTTTTCTGACAGGCCAAAATCTCAGTAGATATAGAGAAATGGAATTAGTAAGGCAGAGAGCACATGAAATACAACAACACTGGCGAAAGAACCACTCTTCTAAGTTCTTCAGATGCCGTAGCTTTATGGTAATTAGTGCAAGCTCTGTTTAGAATGGATGCTTTATATCCGACCTAATAACCCACATGAAAAATGTGACTAAGTTTTCCTGGTTTAAGTCTCATTTTTAAATCAGCTTCTCCTGTTAGAAAAACAACTTTGATATATGCAACTGTTTTAAAAAAATGAACTTTTAATCCATGAAACGCTTTTAGTGTTACTCAGGCAAGAAAAGCCAATGTGTTCTTAAGCTTTATATAAAGCAACCTATGCAGAAGCAGCAGGTTGATCAGGGAGTATTTTCCTAATAACAGCTGTTGGCATTCAGGAAACATTTGCCAGTAAGTGCAGCCGGAAAGAAAATCTAACACGTTTAATTAATTGCAGACATCAATGAAGTATTTGCAATCTTAGTAGCAAAACACACATTTCATTGTTATATGTGGGAGGGCATGTAACATTTTCAATCTGGATATATCTATGTTCTGCATGGTTTCTTATGAATCATTTTGCAAAAATAGCAGGAAGGGATTGCAACATTTATATTGAGAAAACAAAAAGAAGTGCTTTTAAGCAGACATAATTATTTCATTGGTAATAGGAAGAGTTTACTATAAGTTTAAACATTCAGCTTAAAGAGGATACTGTTTGAGAAGTCTCACTACTAAGGGAAGAAGGATTCTGGGTTCTTAAATGCTGTAGAGGTTTATTACAACCAAGAAACCAGTGAGTAACAGAGAAACACGGCTACACCCTTGAAATGAAATTCTTCCGCATAATCATGAAGGAAACTAAAGAAATATGCTTATTTCTGACAAACCAAGAGTATATATAAAAATTAAAATATTTCTCAATCTACAAAAGACAATAAAGCAAGTGGAAAACGTGTCAGGCATCCAGTCTATGTATAGAGGCAGGTGGCCTCACCTTTAAATTCTCTCCCCAACACACAATTCCCTACTAATCCAGGGTCTGGGAAGAGGAATTGCTAAATGAGTTCATCACATAGTGAACGGCTAATTGTTGATGCTACATCTTCATATTTAGGCAAGAGAAAATTAACAGTTCAGTAAACCATAAAAGAAAAACTGGAGGAGAGCAAACACAATGCTTAGGTAAAAAAACAATTCCAAAATATACTTTTTCCATACATGAATGACATCCAACTAAACATAATTCAAGCATGAACTCAGGGAAATGTGCAGGAATGGAAAGTTCCATGCCGGCATAGCCCGGAGCAGCCCTGAAGTCTAGGAGTCAAAGAAGCCTAGAAAAGGTCACCAAGCTGATCCCTGCACCGTAGCAAGCTCATTTTAACTTCCTGCAGCTATCCCTAGAGATGAGGGCTGAGACTGCTTCTGAATGATCCCAAAAGCAAAACCTACATGTCACTTTCTTTCATAGTGAACAGCTTCTTTCTCCTTAGATTTTTTAAGTCACTCCACTGCTTTGTGCTTTATCTTTAAGCAAGTGCTGAGGATAACTGTGCCCACCTCGTCAAACATCCCTTAGGTAGAATGATAAGCTGAATGCTTATTACTGGAGGCCTTTACCATTTACAATTATTGCTTTTTCATATCCATTTCATTTCAACTAGAAGAGCTTAAAGCACTTGAGAACTCTAAAAAGAGTCGCTAACTATGCAATTAGAAATAAATTTTTATTCTTAATAGCATACCACCCACAGCTGGAGAACATCTCTTCCTTCCATACCTAGAGTACAAGCCCGTATCTTACTCCTGAAAGATCTTCTTAAATATCTGTTTAACCACAGTATCAAAACATTGCAATTAAGGTAAGAAACAGATCATATGCAAGTTTAACATCAACTTTTTTCTACTTTAGAAAAGCAGGAACACACAAAAAATCCGCAACCAAGCTTTACTCCTACACAAGTTAAGAATTTGCCATTCACTTAGTGAAATGATGCTGTGATCACCCCTGAACTCAAACACACAGATACAGCAAGGAGGAGATATTTTACTTTTACCTGTTTATTCTCTGAACTTCATGCATATATTCACTGACAAACTATAACTAATGCTAGGCTAGATGATCTTCATCTAACCACCCAAACAAAACTTCAGCTGAAACAGCATAAGGTTATCTTCTAAGTGTGCATTATTTTCTAAAAGATTAATAACACAGATTGCTAATAAAGCAACAAAAGCAGTTCTGCATTAATTTATACTTCCTGAAGATGTAGTCAGATAATGGCCATTAGCAGTTCAGTTATCATCCGCAAAGAAAGAGGAAATATGATGGAACAGCAAGTAAAAGGGGAATATGATGGAACAACTTAATTACTAATATCAGATTTTCATGGTCACTCTTTCCAGCTCTGCCTCATGCATCAAAAATGGCAAAAGTGACCTTTGTGGAGGCTAAGATCCTAATAAAAAGGGAAACATGAGGTCCAAAACTGGAAGAAAAAGAAAAAAAAAATGCACTAAGGGAGGAAGATAAGAAGAACAAGAACAAACCATAACAATCCGGGGGAGAGTTATTCTGCCCTTTCAATCCCGGTATAATTTTAAAACCTATTTTTAAGTCTAGCAAGACCTATGCTACACTGCAACTGAGAGGCATCACTTCTATTTCTTCCAGAACTGACCTTCATAACTACAATTCTGCATTATTTCTACAAAAATTACAAGTTTTATCTGCGAAGATTCTATTGTAATGTCATAAGTAATAATTACTAAAGACACTTAAATTAAACCCACTGAATTAGACAGCACTGACTGATGACAATGCTGCAAAATGTACACCTCACCCCACCCTGCCCCAGGCATTGGTAGAACAATTCACATGTGAGGCAACATATACAAAATACAAATATTTGTGGATTTTATTTTTCAAATGCAATGTTTATGATGCTTTATTTTGCCATTTTATTTTCTTCTCCCCTCACTATTATTGTCTTCTTTTCAAACATTTGTCTTAGTATGTCACAGAAGTGGGGAACAGGGTCAGCTAATTACACCAACACTTTTCTTACTCTTTAGTCCTTTTCTTTGCACCCGAGTTGATTAAATCTCAACTCAAAATGTGAAGCACTGAGATCTAGAACACCTGCCAACTCATCCTACTGCTCATATATCACACAGGGAAAAAATGTCTGTGCAGTTCTCCAGTACTATAACTGTGGGATAATATTCAGCAGAAAACACTTCTATTTTTGCATATATATGATCTGGTTTACAAGTCCGAGTCGGCAACCTGTCAAATTTCCTATTGCAATTACCTGTCAAACACTTCTCCTCTCAGGGTACTTGCAGGCTATAATCTTGAAACATACCATCATTATTACTACTACTACTATTACTGTTATTCGTGGTTTTGCCACATATTCTAGGCAGATGCTGCACTGCACTCTTCTTGGCAGTCTTAAGTTCCTGTCAACTCCACGACTTAACTTCAAAATAAAGTTATGCTAGCTCAGAAAATAAAATATATACATACAAATAGTTAAGGGGCACAAAAAGGAAGAAATAGAGAAACATGTTTATTAGTTCTTTCAGCAACAAATCAGCAACATTTCAGCATTTCTAGTAAACCTTAGATCAGAGTGCACAAGAGAGGGCATGGACTTCTTTCACTGTATTTTCTTGTTCAGCAGAATGCCTTAGTTGCTCATGTATATTTACATGATCTATTTTTTCCTCCAAGGCAAGGGAATTTCCTAGGCAGAACTGATACAGAAGCAGGTTACATGATTGTCAAGAACAAAAACCCGATCTCCTGATTCTCAGGTAACATGTTAGCCCAAAAATGTCCTTTGTGAATTCATATGATAGCAGCATTGCTCAAAAGCAGGCTATGTGGTGCTAAAGAGGTGGAGGCAACTGGAGCAACTTGCAAAGAACAAAAGCTTGCCATGAGAGCGTGCCTTCTCTAGGCAGCTTTCACGCTGCTTCTGGTGGAGCTTCTTCACTGTTTTTTTCATTTGTTTTCCTCTGCAGTCCAACTGAATTTACATGAAGGAGATTTACATGCGTGTTTGTGTATTTCACTGGTTTTACCAGTATTTTGCTGATAAAATGTAGGCAAGGTTAGGAACATAATTTTAAAAGCAGTAGTGAAATTGCCTGGGAAATGCATCTTTCATGAGCAATCCCACACATCTTCCATGTCTAGTTTTAAGAGGGCAACAGCTAGATTTTACGTACTGCTCAAAACCAGATGTCTGA